TTTGCTTATCTAGCAGGATTCACAGTCCCAAAGTCCTGAGTTACTTTATATTTTTATAATAGCAGCTCACATCAAGATTTGTCTAATTTCATTTGTTTTCTTGCCGATTGTCTTTCTAGCCAGTGTGCGCATGCGCAAGCAAACACATCAATCGGATTAGTTGTCCATGTTGGAAAAAGGGTAAAGTACGATACGAAGTCAGCGATAATTTTATTTTAGCTTTAAATCCCACAAGAAATTTAATGACATGGCAAATGTTGTTTTTCCTTACCGTGATCACAAAAGCTTTTTTTTTTTTTTTAATAAAACTTTTGTAGACACCGGCAGACGCTTTTCTGTTGCATAAGCGTATATACAGTACGCAAGAATAATCATGACCGTTGGAATTCAAGTTTTTCATCAATGACACAGGTGTAATCAAAAGAAAGAACTTCGGAGTGTTTCCAAGAAGAGTTTAATCTTGTGCACTCTTGTTTTTCCAAGTGTGCTGCGTCATTTAAAGACTAGAAAAAATTCTTCTATCATAAATCACGAGGCTAAAAACCCACCACCATTATTTACACCAAGAATAATCTTGTTATCGCCGATTTCCTGCCGTTTTTCAGCGGAAATTTGAAGCTAATCCGGCGGAATCTGGCAAATCTCCTGTACTGTTGGCCGGTCATGTCTGGTGGTCTCTACAAAATAACACGCAATGAACAACATTCCTGCCTAAAATAAACCTCTTTTATTTTTACTCGTCCCCTAAACTTTAATTCTAGCTAGGAATGTGTACACACTGACTTATCAAACGATCAGCCTTTAGATACGGGATTATTACCCAGGCTTAGAGCAACCATAACACTGTTTTAGCTTCAGTTCCTTTAAACCTTAAAGTATTCAAAATGGCGCCTTGTAGCAATTAAAATTTTGGAGCCTTGAGTGCGTGTCAAGAATAAAAAATTCCATTCAAAAAATTATTATTGCGATTTTCTGCTGCTCGTATTGTCTTTCATCGCTTAAATTCGACTTGGAGAGTGTTTGAACCCAATACTCCGTAAAACTAACTGAAACTAATGAAATGTAATCCATCAACGGTCATACCCATATGAACGAAACCATAGAAAAATTTTGGATCTTTGGTTAAGTTTTGAGAAGAAATCAACTCTGGATTGATTTTTTTGTCTTTCTTAGGTTAAGGTTTTCAAACCGGCGTCCTGCCAGCTTAAGCAAACTGCCAACCAGTTAACCATAAACAGACGATACTCTATAACTGAAAACGGGGAAAAAACGGCTCCCTCTCTATCCAAATGAAAAACGGTTTTTGCAAGCTAAGTGATAGCTAACCATATTGGCTGATAATGCAGAAACATCGAGTTGGAAAGTTTGGGTCTTTGTCGGTCTTTAGAAGCACTTAGGAATACTTAAAGAAGATGAGTTCCTGGCTCCGCGAGGGAAGTGCGTACCGACAAAATCCAGAAGAGACTATTAGAAGTTGGTAGATTGCCAGTATAGACCACTGAAGAGCCTTGTATTAAATGATTCTCACTTCCGCTGATATATCAGTGCATAAAACGTATACTAACCCACATGATCCGATAAACTCATTATCCTCTATTTACTGCGGCCTTTCTGCGAGTGAAATCTCACTTCCAGACTTTGAACTTTGTTCGATCGATACCCCCTTAGAAAACTTCACCCCTGAAACACCTTGTTTGTTTCTTGATAGTCTGTCGAAATTGAGTGATACTTTGGCTGGATTCTACACGACAGGAAGTAGTAAATCTGGGTGTTTACTTGCTCGGAAAATTTAAAAGGTGCTTTGTATTTTTTTAACTGACTTATCAGCGGGTGTTAATTTCATTGTTCTACTGTATTCACGTTCAATCATGTTTACAAGTTTACGGATTATAAATTCTGTAGAATGCATTTGGCCAATTATAGCTTACTTCTTAAAACAGTATTCGATATTTTAAGTGTTTATTACAGTGGTTGTGAGATGTAAATTTTAATTTGACTGTCTATATTTAAAACCAGAAGATTGTGTTAACCCATTGTATAGCCCTAAAAGCCATAGAGTCTGTTGGAGAATACCATTCAATGTGGCTAAGACAGTATACAAGGTTATTTCCGCCCTGTTGGAAATCTGTGAATAAATAAAATAAACAAAGCGTCGAGGGAAACCGAGACACTGAGAATTTACTTTAATCATTATTGATTTTCGCTACATGAAAGGGAAGGTTCTAGCGAAGGTCGAGGGAATAAATTGTAGCAGAATAACTCGGGCTGAGTCTTTGTATGAAAATGGGATTGAGTAGCTAAAAATCAGCTACTGTTTATTTTGAGTCAGTTTCATGTAATGAAAATCCATCGCTCTTTTCGTTTCATTTTAAGAACGAGTAACGACGCAACGTATTCAGTACAGCAATGAAACAACGACGCGCAAATTTCTAGTAGGGACGAAGGAAAGTTCTGGAACGTTTTTCAAACTAACTTTACGTTCATTTTTCCACTCCAATACTGCTCACTTCCGAACACTTAACAGCCATCAAATATTGAATTACAATACCGAGCGGTAATGCAACTGAAAAAGCTCAATCTACTCTTGGCAAGCACAAAAGCAATATCCGGGCATATCAAAGAACTTGTCTTTAGCTTGAAAGTTGTGTTATCATGACATCCTTTTTTAATTAGGTCTGTGACATAGATGAGACGCCTTGTTATAATGTGATACTGTGAAAAGTCTTAATTCACTTACATATGTTGCTGCTATGATATTATGCTTAGGTGTGTCTTCCCTCTTTGCCGAAATACTTTTGACGGCTAGCGAGATTAACGACTTAAAAACACTGTGATCAATATAAGATTGGCCATTTTGCGATCAACAGTTAATAAATTTGTCACATTCCAGGGATTTAAACTTGGGTAATAAAAAGCAACCGCTTTATACTGTTTTTTGATTAACTTTTGTCGGTCTTGGAGCTGTAAGTGGTTACAAAACTGTTTCTGAAAGAGTTGAGGTCACAACCACACCCTTTCCGAGGGGGAGGGGAGGGTATTTACGAAGTGACTTCTACCCTTCTGTATCACGTACCAAGGATGAAAGTTCAACGTCAGTAAGGAAAAAGACCCTCGCTGCTTTGTAGAACATTAATATTCATCTTTGAAATTCTGAAGTAATATTGTACATTCAGTATCGTTAACACGCTCCGGAAACAACAGATCAGTTCCAGTGACGTATCATTTCCGTGTTCTTGATGTTAACCTCTATAAATCTTGACCAGCTACTAAATTCTCAGATCTATGCGTTAGATTTTATATGACTTTACGTGAGGAGATTAAATCTAACGATGGAACTACAGAACCTCGTCAGCGAGAGTATTAGGACCTCACAAGCAATTCTCCCAGCTAGTAGCTCTACGTTTCCTTATAAAAAAGAGAGAGAGTTTGTTGTTAAGCCATGATAATACCCTTTATACAGCTGAAAAGTTTATCGTGTGTAGTAAACTGTTTAGAGTGGAGAAGGGTGAGCGGTGAAAGGGATGGTCGCAACGCTTCCTGACCCCACCGTTAGACGGCGTGCTGTGTTAGCAGCAGCACGCCGGCGGCACGCGCCAATATCTATGACTGGAATTTGTTATCTTCACTCTCCATCTTAAGATAAGCTGATTATCAACACTATCACAAGCCAAAGTTTTGACATTATCGATATTGTTAACAACAACGCGCGGGCCAAGATTGCCTGCCTGTGAATGTTTGCTGCAGCGAGTCATTGAGTCGCGTTCGGCATTGATTGCCAGTTTTTCTGATGTACAGATTAAAATTGTGGATAAAGTGGAAAGGTTTCATGAAATCAAACGTCTATTTGCACACGGTTCTGCACCCCCCAGCAAGGAAAGTAAAATTTCTATATTTTAGGGGGGTGATACATACTTAATTGGATCAGTATATGGAGGGAGCTCTGTAGTGAAACTTCCCTTCGCAAGCTGGCTTAAATTTTGCAAGACCACCCGCATATGTTATCAGCAGCCTTATTTTTAAGACGTTTCTAATTTTCTTCTCCAATGCACTGCAAATGTCTAAAAAGGCTTTATACAGAGCGTTGCTGATCAGAGTTCAACGACCCGCTGTAATTTGTTCCACACGAACTGATTATCAACTAAACAATTCATCGCATAACTGAACAACAAAAATCTGCCCGGACAAATTCGTTATAGAAATGTTGAAAAAACGCTGAGTATTCTCCTCTGATGATCTGATGTTAACAGAAAAAATTTTAATGATAGTTAGAAACGAATTTCAAAATAGGTTTAACAACCTGATTGAAAGGTTAAGCCTACAAAGAGACTTCGAATTAAATGGGTTTGAAGCGACCGTGGGAACATTCCTTTGCTTTATTGTGTTCTTCTGTTCCCTTGTGGTATGATCCCTCATCTAAACAATCCCACAATAGAAACTCAAATCTTATGAAAACATCTTACATAATGGGCAACTCAACTCCGCCAAGCACGTGGGAAGGGGTCGAATTAACGACGATGTTTACACATATTCACGAGCAAAAGCCTGCTACTGTGTTAAGGGGGCAACACCTTTGAAATCACGACATAAACAGACAGTTTGAAAAGAATAAACCCACTTGAGGGGAACATCACTGGGCACGAGAACTCTAAAAGATTACTTCTATCGGCGCGCGCTAAGTTGAAGTTCCACAAAGTAAGTCGCGCGACTTGTTAATTGCAAGAAGCTATTGAGATATTCAGACCAATCGCATGCAATGTTCTCACGCCCTCAACGCACCACTGAAGCTCAAGAGCCTGTCATACAACTTAACCCCGTGACCTTTCGCGTTGTCTTCCAATCAGCGCAGAGCATTCCCACGGTCCGGCATCAGAGAAGCCTTTGTTTACTGTTCCAGCTATTGAATATGAATAGCTGTTTGTAAATAAGTGCGAGAGTTGACACACGACTAAGGATTTTTTCCCACGGTGCGAACTATAAAAAGAATATTAAAACACGCATGCCGGTTGCTTGTATTACGCCCTAGGGTCGGTTAGAAGCGTGCCGAAGTATTTTATACTGCCACAAGTGAGCGGATCGCACGCGTAAACTTGACAGCACAAATGGATGTAGAAATTTTAAAACCCGTTATGAATGCTCAACGCAGTGCTAAAAAGGAAACAAAGAAGGTATCTTGAAGAAGTAGTCATAGCTTTTTAATTCACAACTCGCTATTGTACATTTAGTTACATGTTATAGGGCTCCTTAAATTTCAAAATATGGTTGCAAATGTGGATTTTAATCGGCAATTCCCACCGCAAATGTGTATTTTGCTCAGAGAGAGTAATTATTCTTTTCTCGAAAAATTGAAATAATTAATTAAAAGAAAAGTTTGTTTTGCCTTGCAGTCTAAAAAACCACTTATGGAAAAGATGCGTCGAGCAAGAATTAATGACAGTCTGAACGAATTGAAAACTCTTGTATTGGAGGCGATGAAAAGAGATGTAAGTATTAGAAAATTCACATTGAAAAATAAATCATTATTTGGTTTCAGTATTCTTATCTTCTGTCTTTTCCAACAGGTGTCAAGGTATTCCAAAATGGAAAAGGCCGATATTTTGGAAATGACTGTGAAATACCTTCGCTCATTGAACACTGAGAGGACTTTGCATATTAAGCAACACCAAGGTAAGGCAGTAAAACGCATTGTTTTGTTCACTACATTCAACTAGCAATTTTAAGATTAAATATGTTCAGCCAGCTACTTTTTAATTTTTGTGCATCCTGGCCTACGTTGATTTACTTTTCTCCGTCACATCGTACTAAAAATTTTTTAATTTCTTTGAGATCTTCGAAAACGTTATTTTAAACAAACACAAAATTTATTTTCTCTTTAGCAACAAGTTCGAACAAATGAACTACTAATCATCTTTCAACGCTAACAGCCTGAGAGAGTAACGTTCTTTAATTGTGTTGATCTTTGTTCCTCGATCTTATCTTAAATCACACCTCACCGATTCTTTTGTCGAGAATTCAACACGTTGCTTGCACACCACTTTATGATTTTTTATTTCATATCCTTTTTTCACTTTTATTTTACCGGTGCTGGTGAGTAAAAGCTTTTCGAGCCTTTTTGATGTTGGCACTGTGAAATTTTAACGAGATGGTTAAACCTCAGAATTCCGAAGGCATCAAACATTCCGCCCACATCCATCAAAATCGGAGGTGCCAATTAAGAATGTTAAGTGCTAGGGATTTGAAATATGATACTTATCATGGGCATCTTTTTTTTTTTTCCTTCGCAGAAGACGCTTCTGCAATCGCTAAGTATCGAGCAGGGTTCAACGAGTGTGCTGCCAAAGTTTCTCAATTCCTGATGACAGCAGACAATATTACTGTCCCGGTTCGCACACAGCTCCTATCACACTTAGCGTCAACCTGTCAGCAGCAAAAAGACCCTCATCATTCCCCCACCGATATGTCAGTCTCGCGACAACAAGCCCACGCAACGCTGTCGTCATCTTTTCCCGCCACTAAACCAAAAGTTGGCGCGAACACGGCTTTCGCCGACGGAAGTATGGCAACAAAATTCCCTTCACCACCTTCGTCACCTCTTCACAACCATTCAGAAAGGAAATTACTGCCTTTTCCGCCAACGATGTCGCCCTCTATGTCACCCTTTATGCTTAGTAATGGTATTCCAGCCTTGATCTTACCAAATGACACTGCATTGCAACTTCTACCTTTAACCTTACCCGCAAATGCCTCTACTGCATTCGACACATCTTTGTGGAGACCTTGGTGACGCTAGCCCAGCGTTACAATCAATTTTTTCGGTATCATGTACCTATCTCAAATTGCTCTCCGAGCGGAAATGAATTTCTGGAGTGTCTTTAAAATGAGGGTCGCTTGGATTAGTCGAGCTATTAAAACTACTGAATATTTATTAAGAATTGTGCTAGAGGTATATATAATTTTTGCAACGAAAAGCTATGTATAATTACGAATAAAATATAACTTGAATACGTGAAGACGTCAGCAATGCGTTTGGTGATGATGTATCGTTTTCCACATTTTACAGTCGCAAGCAGCATCGGAATGAAGATAGAAATAACTAATATTATCCTCACTTAATATCTCATGAAAAATGTGTCATTATTGGACTTAATTTCACAAGCTTGTTTTAAAATGATTTGGAGAGAATTCACATAAAAATGTTACAGCTTAGAAGACTCCATGCTTAGATTACCCAGTCTTTGAGTCGAAAAATCGTTCTTGGATTAATTAGACCATACAATTTTCTTGAAAAAGTCCAGCATAACTTGATCAACAAGCTGTCCTGCTCATTTTTGATTGCCCTTCGTTTTGTGTTGGTCAAAGAATGTGGGGTAATGCAGTCAATTAGTCTTAATTGGCAAATTTCTTTTGGCGTAAAGAAGCGGTTTAGAATATTTAATGGTAACCAATTTTTTACAGCGTTTTTTTGCTAATCCGACATGTCTGCGACATTAGGTCTGTTGTGCAGGCGGCAGTTTAATCATAAAAAGTCGGCAGTGGAGATTAGCAGGTCAATTCAGCATCAGCTGCTGCCAAGATGGGTAATTTCAATTAAAAGCAAAATTTGTCTATCACTTTACAAGTATCTGCAGTAATCCTGTCGAACGGAAGAGGCTTTCAATCCAGAGTCAACACTAAAATCTGCAGTTTTGCCTTTTTGCCGGTGCTTACCCCGAAACTATCACATACAACCTCTTAACTGACTCGAGGCATGTTTTGTATCAAACAAATCTTTTCTGTGCTCAATTTAGTTAAAGCATATTGAAGGTTTAGGAGAAGAGGTAAGGAAAAAAAGTCAAACTTGCAGACCGCACTCCAAACACTGCTGAATGTTTATGGCAGTCATGAGGTTAGCAATTTCACCGTTGCCGTAAAACAGTAAAGATATAACTCAAAGATGAAAAGAAGACTGTAAGAGTTCTGGATTTAATTAAATAATTCAATTCCAAAATTATTGACCTCAGCGACTGCACAACACAGCCGTTTGGGCTTCAAGTTGACTCTCGGACTTTGTTGTTGGAGTTCTGGACGACCACACTGATTTAATTCCAAATTATTGACTCCAGCGACTGCACAACGCAGCCATTTGGGTTCAAGTTGACTCTCGGACTTTTGCTGTTGGTACGACAGTCAGTGAAGGGTTCTTAGGGAAATATACTTTACAACTGAGCCTTAATGTAATGGAAAATTATTGCTTTTAAAATGTTGTTGCTATTATTTGAGTAGAAAATACCAGCTACTGTTGTATACAAATGGTGTGTTAAGTGGCCCCTTTGAATTTGTTTCTTAAAAAAACTATAAGCTGAGCTTAGAAAACTAGTTTCATTCAAATCTTTCTAGATTCAAGAGGACGAATCTATAAGAGTTGTTTTAAAGCATAAAAAAGGTGAAAGAATCGTTTTGACGATATTTCAGTAGGCAAGGTATAAAAACACAACTCTGTAGCCTGCAGATGCACTCTCCAATATCTCATTGCCGCCTCTTTCAGAAAGCCGAATTCAAAGGAATTTGAACAAAACGGAACAAAGAACTGCACATGCCTGTGCTTTTCTTTTTCATTTTTTCACGTAAGACTGAGTTCCTGTGAAGCTACAAGCTAAGCTGAATGTTTTTCCCAAGTAGCTGTTTGCTTGTAACAATTACACTGTTTATTTCAACCCCGCTAAGAACTCCTGTAGATATTCATTCCGCATCAGCGCCCTTAGCATTAATAAAACAACAACTGATCTTTCTTTTGGACTGTCACACGGGTATCAGATTTTTGGGAAGTGGTACGCACCAATTAAGAGACAGGTCAAACATCTGAACCATAATCTCGTCTGCGCTTCAACAAATCCTTGTTTATTGAGCGGCTTTCTCAAATACAGAATTTATTGTGTCGAAAAGGATTAGTAGCCTGGCACGAAAGTGAACGAGAAAACATTCATTTCTTGCTTGTTAATAAGTTGTTTGTTGATGTCGGTGAGTTTCTAATGCCTGGCTCACCTTTTGAAAGGAGATGTTTGGTTATAATAACACTGATATTATATCAAACGTCACAGACTTCCCGCTCTAGAAAGTAAACTTGAAAAGAAAATATTTCGTAATCTCAAATCCGTTTGCATTCTTGTGTGAGTCGAAAGCACGACCAAGGTTGGTAATTCCTTCAAGAAAACGGCATTTGATGGATTCTAGAGCACGACAGAAGACTTGCGGTTTTATGTCGTAAAAACGGCACGCGAGCCGCGCTCAGCGCACGCTTACTAGAGCGCACTTTTCAACGCGTATGAAACGCTTGAATAATGTTGTCAAGAACTAATTTCAAGTGTCTTTGCTATTTATGCCTATTTTGCAGAAAAAAAACTTTCGTCTGAAACTGGGACAAATACCTATTGAAGACCTAACTTAGTTGGAACTGTGCGGTAGCGTCGAATCAGAACTCAATAAACTTACATCATTTAATTCTACTGTTATTGATCGTCAATAAAGGTACCTCCAAATTTTGGCACAAACTAACAAACATCAATGCCCTTACAAATCTTCAAATCTACTTAACCCGTTTTCAAGACTTTTTAGCAGCACAAGCCGCCACATTCAGAACTGCAGATCGATCGCAAAAATCATAGTATTCCTTTTAAAACAATTTAATGGACAAACGGCTATGTTGTCTCACAAAATTTTCAAGCACAAAAAAATGCTTTATGGTAAAAAGGCCACACGACTGAATTCAGTATGTATGACCGATCTCTCATCTCCCGCGCTCCCACGAATTTGTTAACTATTTAGGGGAATATTTAGAGGAATCCATAAGACTTCCTTTTGATGTCAACGTCTCTGAATCGCTTATTTAGCGGCGGAGAATGTGGCTGTTTGGGTTCAAAGAAATTCCATTCCTCATTGATGAAACATTTAGTAATAATTTACCGGAACTAAAACAAAGTGGTTGAAAACAATAACATATCTGTCACTTTGCGATTGTATTGATAAATGAGACTGAACTTTATGAACTGTAAACCACACGGCTTGTCTGAGAAAAGGTGATATTACCCTTCTGATAAAAGTCGGATACGGCATTTGTAGACTTCTCGCGGGTGGCAAACGTGAATTTACACACGTCAGCTTTACTCGTCACATATATTTGCTTCTTTTGAAAATCATTTGCCGATGTAATTAATACGCTTAAACATTTTCTAATGATAGAGCAAAGCATGCTAAGCCGAGACGGACAAGATTTAATATTTAGCCGCCCAAGTCTTTGGAATTTTAATTCCGAAATTTGATTTGTAATGACAAGTTCCGCTTTTGCTTTCCTGTCTGCGTGGGGTGGCACGTGTCAGGAGATATTTTGTTGTCAGTTGCGAATCAAAAAATATTTTTCTCCTGAACCAGACAAAAAACAACCGAAATCGAAGCCATACCCAATGCCCTTTGACCATGCCTTGAAAACATTTTCTTAATAAACTTGACATAAGAGCCCTTCAAAGCGCACTTAGAGTTTACTTAGTTCCTTTTACTGTTCTCGTGGTTGTGTTTTAACATGACAAAACTCCAACAGCGTGAATAATAACGCATAGATAGTGAAAAAATGTTCTTTATTCTAAGACCGTGGGAAAGATCCGAGTTCTATTGTCATGAAAATCCACCATGTAAACCGCAGAGTAATTCTTGCGCCGAGACAATCCAAGTACAAATGAAAGAAGTGACAATGGATTTGGACGCCGTGAAAAGAAGTAGCACGTGCATGTCATTTTACGCTCTACTAGCGACTCCTCATTTAAATACAGTTGTGTAAATGAGTGTCTAAACGCCCCGCAGGAAAACCATTAAAAACTTATCACGTTTTCAACACGTCAGTGCGATAACCTCGTGGCAGAGAAACATGTCAAGGAGCTAGACAATCTTCCGTTGAAAAATGATTCTCTTCTGTTTGGCCTCTCCGCGGTCTTTCAGCGAGGCACTCCAAATGTAGATCTTTTGTTTTCAGCTTGTGTATACTGTCTTTTTTGTAAGTAATTCAACACAGGCGCTGCTTGTGCTCTCAGCCAATCAGTGTGGACCGGTCTCACGCTCGTCACGAGCGGATGGCGACGTTTAAGCTTTGTTCCTGCAGTTTGTCGTGCGACTCAAGAAACTGACCAATCAGAAGAGACTGTTCCCACGACCTACCTATTGTAAAGGTCAGTTGTATTGTTCTCAGCTGTTATGGTTATTGTCCTTGTAAATGCGAGGGTAAATATTTGCGATTGATGACACAAGGCCGAAAGAATTTTCCCACGGAGGCTGCCATAAAAAGTGAATGTTTGGCACACGACCGCCACACGCAAATTGCGCTCGATCAGTACACAGCTAAGGTCACAATTTTTCAACTCGATCCAAGATGGCGACAGCAAATTTCTGCAATCAACCTTCGGACTACGTCAGCAAAATTTTGAGTGAAAAACGAAAGGTGGGCTAAATTCTGTTCTGCGTCAATTACTGAACAGCGCAATATTTATAAACATTTTATACCTATCATATCACTTGTGAATGATGTTTAATCAAATGTTATTATATTCCCCAGGCGAAAAAACCTCTCATGGAGAAAATGAGACGAGCAAGGATTAATGACAGCTTGAATGAGTTGAAAACTCTTATTCTCGAAGCATTGAATAAAGATGTGAGTCACTAATCTGTAAAATTCTAATTTGTAAGATTTGAATTCGTCCAGCTGACGTTGTTTAGGATTCATTGGAGAATATTTACTTACAATTAATTTCACATTATTTTTTAAGGCATCTCGGTATTCGAAAATGGAGAAAGCTGATGTTTTAGAAATGACAGTTCATTATCTACGGGAACGTAAAAGATTGGAGCAAAAACACCAAGGTATTTTTATTAATAATTTGTCTTAAGATCGTTTGTAATAAATACTGTTTAAGTCTATCTTTGTCACCAGTCATTAAAGAGATGATTTATCATCAATATTTATATGTCAAATATCCAACGATTCATTTTTTAGAACA